GTTCTGGATTTGCACCTGGAGACCTCTTTGAGCACACTGACCCTGTTTGGGGCATTGTCTGTCTAATGTTCACCAGTCTTAACTTGTCATTTTAGATTTAACTAGTAGTCAACCTGGTTACTAACCTTAACTAGTCATCAACTAATGCAAACCAGCATTAACTAGTTGTCTTGTTAGACTTAACTAGTGGTCCACCTGGTTACTAGCCTTAAGTAGTTGTCAACCAATGTTAACCAGACTTAACTAGCTGTCTTGTTAGATTTAACTAGTAGTCGACCTGGTTAGTAGCCTTAACTAGTTGTCAATCAATGTTAACCAGCCTTAACTAGCCAACTTGTTATATTTAACTAGTAGTCCACCTGGTTACTAGCCTTAACTAGTCATCAACTAATGTTAACCAGCCTTAACTAGTCTTCTTGTTAGTTTTACCTAGTAGTCTTCCTGGTTACTAGGCTTGACTAATCATCAACCAATGCTGACCAGGCTTAACTAGTCGTATTTTTAGATTTAAATAGTAGTTGACCTGGTTCCTAGTCTTAACTAGTGGTCCACTAATGTTAACCAGTCTTAACTAGTCGTCCACTAATGTTAACCGGTCTTAACTAGCTGTCATGTTTAACTAGTAGTCGACCTGATTACTAGTCTTAACTAGTAGTCAACTAATTTTTAACTAGTCCTAGAGATGGCCTTAACTAATAGTCTGCCTGGTTTCTAACATTAACTAGACAGCAAGTGAGTTTAACTAGTCATCTAGTTGGTCTTTATGAGTATTATGTGTTTACTATTCAAGTAGTCATCAAATGGGTTTTAACTAGTAGTCAGCCTGGTTCCTAGTCTCCACCAGTCCTCTAGTTCTTAACTAGAAGTGTTTCTGCTTAGTAGTCTTAGCAAGTCATCAACAAGTTTTAACTAGTCCTCAGGTTGGTGCTAACTAGTAGTATCTGTACTGATTTTATCAAGTCCTCAGGTAAGGTTTAGCCAGTTGTCTGCCTTGCTAACAGTCCTAACTAGGTGTCATGTCAGTCTTAACTAGTAGTTTTTCTGCTTACTAGTCTTAACTAGTTCTATATTTGGTCTTAACTAGTAGCCTGGCTAGGTACTAGCCTTAACTATTCATGCCAGGTTTAACTAGTCACCAGCTACTTTTAACTAGTCCTCAATCTGTTCTTAGCTAGTAGCCTTCCAGGTTACTAGTCTTAGTTACTAGTGGTTGACTAGCCTGCCTAGTTACTAGCCTTAACTAGTCGTCACCTAGGTTTAACTAGTCATCCAATAGATGACTCCTCAAAACAAATTAACATGACACAAAACACATAACGGTTGATCCAAATATGACGATGTTGAAGTAATTAGTCCCTCTATCTTATATCATCCATACACAAATCCCCAAAAATCAGAATCAGGCTATTTCTTTCATTTAAATGTTTCCCCTTTTATACATTGGCACAAAACCACCCTTGAAAAAGGGAACAGCATGTAGAAGTTCCACTTTTCACATAGAGAAAAGGAAGTTCACTATTTTGGAGGTTATTTTCAAAATGTGATAGATGGCAACATTCATTAGGTAATATTTCTCTTGAAATGTAATTGCCCAGATGTTGGCTCATCTGAAATGAAAGGTGAAATAATGACCTTTTTCCTTTTAAAGAATTATTTTATTGAACTTTACTTATGCATTTATTTATTTTAATTTGGCCAGAGAGGGACAGAGAGAAAGCGAGAGAGAGAAAATGAGAAAGCAAGCCACCAGGTCCAGGACTCAAACTGCAGTTGGCCATGCGGGAGTCCAGTGACTTTAACCACTGTGCCTAATAATGACTTTTTATCTAGCCAATTCATTAAGATCCTCCAGTTTAATAAGTGAATGGGAACTTTTACCAAGCTTGAGTCCTGTTAAGATTTTAATAACTGGCATGATGAAGCTGTTACAAACAGGTGTTCTTCCATGACAACAATAGCAAACCTATCGCTAGTACCATTTGCTAAAAACTCAGCTGAGAGGTGGAGGACTGTACAGGGAGTAGCATGTAGCCTGCAGCTAATTGTTTCCCCTAAGTACACTGACTACACCTCTCCAGTCAATCAGTCCTACACACACCCAAAGTTTGGTCCACATGTAGCTTTCTTCAGATTGTTCCTTTGTTGGTGCGGTTCTTCTCTCAAGATTACTACTGAAATCTGTTGTAATATCGACTAAGAAAATGTTATGGTTGACATAGTCTATTACCTTCTTAAATAGATGCTTGGGACAAATACATCTCAATCTAATTCTGGTACCAGAAAGATATCTTTAATCAGAATCTCCATGAAATGGGCCCAGAAATTAAATTTTTAAAAAATCTGGGGACCACAATTCTAGCATGTTCCATCCACAAATAGACAGTCTTTGGTTTAAAGATTAAGAGCAATGGGACCAGCAGTTAGCGTAATGGCTATGTCACTGGACTCCCATGTAGTGGACTGCGGTTCAAGTCCCAGAGCCAGCGGTTAAACTCACGCCGGGCGTGTGTGCATGCGTGCCCAAGATCCCAAGAGGAGAATGGAGGAGAAGGGATTGTAGCATGGCCATCCCCCATGGGGGGCGATTTCTCGCTTCCTATCTCTCTGTCTCTCTCTGTCTTTCTGGCGAGCCCACACATCCCATAGTAAAAACCAGCCCCCAAAAAAATAAATAAATAAAGGATAAGAGCAATTTCTCTCCTCATTAAATATTAAATTCTTCAAGATCGAACTCTTTATATTTATATCTGCAACCATTAGCATAATGCGTGGCACAAAAATGAATAATAAACATGATGTCTCTGTGTTTGTCTTTTTATGTGTTTAATTACTTTAATATACCACCTGTACTGTATAGCCATAAATATGTAATGGAAACACTCCAACAGGATGATTTTTTCATTGGTCCGTGTCACCCTGGGGAAAGTTAGGCAAAATATCACTTAGAACATTTGAATGAAAGACTAGTCACAGGTCCAGCTAAAGTATCACATGCTGCTTGGCAGGCTTAGGCCGCATGGGAGGCCCAGATTCCATTCTCAACCAACCCTAAAGGCTGGGCATGATGGTACAAGATTACAGTAGCTGTAATCTTAGCTACTCAGGAAGCTGAGCAGCAGGATCACAACACAGAGGGATCCTATGCCTACAGTAAAATAAAACAAAATAAAATACCTATATTTTTCACATTCACAATGTTTGTTACCTGATCATGAATGGATGAGAGAATATACCTGTAAAGAATGAACCGGTAGCAGCTTCTCTACATTTCTTAGAGTAGTAAAGCACAATTTGATCAGATAAACTTCAAGGTGTTTCTCTAGGCATTGTGTTTGTTTGTTTGGTTGGTTTTGGTTGTTGTTTTGTTCTCAGATTTTTGCCATAAAGTAAGTACATTGGTGAATTAGAGAGGGAAAGTGAGAAATCGTTCCCCAGGGGGAATGGCCACACCAAAATCCTTTCTCCTCTATTCTTCTCTTAGGATTTTGAGCACACATGGACACATGCCCAGTGTGATTTTCAAGACACCAAGTCCAGGACTCAAACTGCAGTTGACCCTGTGGAAATCTAGTGCTTTAACTACCATGTCACCTGCTGGCCTCTACACAGGTTTGTTTCTTGTTTGTTTGTTTGTTTGTTTTTAGTTTTGCTTTCTGTTTTATTTATGTATTTATTTATTTATGTACTAGTCTGTCATATGGTCTAGTAATTTATTGTATGCTCCCTTCCTTTTTTAGTTGTTATTATTTTTATTTTTTGTTATTTTTTTATTTTTAATAAAACAGAAAGAAAGATGAGGGAAGGAAGGAGGTAGGTATATTTGACAGTCTTGCGGTTACAATCTTCTGCCGTAGCCTCCCAGTTAGCACCACCTTGCCAGGTCAGAGTTAATGCCTCCACTTCACCTCCCAGATAACACTACCATGCCAGCCTGTTCACGCTGGTTTAGGATTCAACTGCCCTTCACTGTGACTGGGCCCTCCTAGGTTTTAATATATATGCTTTATTTAAATCTCAACAAAGCAGCTACAGAGGGGTCCTAAAACTTCACCCAGCCTATATTTACCCTCAGGAAATGACAAGAAGTTATGATTGACGAGACGAGCAAGCAAGGCAGCAAATTGACCACATAATTATAGTTGGCTCTTGAACAAGGCAGGTCTGAACCCACACAGGTCCACTTATTATTAAGACATTTTTCAGTAAATTCCTTAAGTGTATTTCTCTTCCTTCTGGTTTTCTTTTCTTTTTTTTTTTTTACTTTGAGAGGTTTTTGCTATAGGGTGCGTGCGCCACGCTGCAATCCCTTCTCCTCCATTTGCCTCTCGGGATCTTGGGCATGCACGCACATGAGCCCAGCGTGAGTTTTAAGCCATCGGGTCGGGGACGTGAACCGCAGTCTACTACATGGGAGTCCAGCGACATAGCCACTGCTGGCCCCAACCAATCTTTAAGTAAGATTAAGTAAGAATTATAGCTTACATTTCACAGATGTAGAAACTGAAATTCTAAGAGAGAAAATAACATGTCAGAGGTAAAACTACTACTGAATTATTAGACTGAATTTCTAACTCTGGTCTGTTTAACTGAAAGCATTTTCTTAAATTATTTATTACATCTGAGAGAGAAGCTACATTTAAATGTTATTATTTCAGTTTGTGAGTTCAAGGGCCAGTACAATTAATTGATATTTTTTCTTCCTTTTGCTACTAAATAGTGAAGAATAATCTCATTATTTAATTTATTTTTAGTTTTTTGTTTTGTTTTGAGGTTTCTTTTGTGTGTTTATTGTTTTGTTTTGTTGCTATTGGGTGTGTGTACTTGCTACAGAGAGATAGAGACACAAAGAGGGAAGAGAGGAAAGGTGAGAAATCACCCCTCAGGAGGAATGGCCACTTAGAAAATTAAAGATATTATAAGACTTCTAAAAACTACACACTGGAATCTTAATATGAAAATGTTTATTAGATCACGTGTTTAGCTTTTTCTTTCTACTGTAGAGTTGGAGTGAAGAGGCTGCACAAAATGCCAGAATCATAGCAAGTTACTGTGATACGACAAAGAGTAACCCACTTGAGAGGAGACTCCCATGTAAGGATATGTCTCTATGATCTCCTTTGTGCTCAAAATTATTTAAATGAATAAATAACAAGGACTGTCAATTAGTCAAGAGTAGGCTAAGTCCTCCAATATATAGTTGCACATAGACATATTTATCAGCGAGTTGTGGCAGTAACACTGCTTTGTTACTATTGAATTTTAAAATTTGGAAATTCAAAGTTTCAGATTTCAAGATCTGAATATCTAGAGAAAAGAATCAAGGCTCTAAGTATTACAGAAGACTTGAGTTCAGATAGAGACCTAGGTTTTCATTCTATGCAGATACCTCAGATTTCTTCAGATCTGGAACAGCAATACAGATAAGAAGTGAGTTACATGCAACTCATGAAACTGCCTTAAGAGCACTTTTAGAGACATAACTACAGATCATTGGAAATTATAGCCCAAGGCTGTAAAGCAGTGATTTAGCACAATGGCTCTTCTCTGTCCCAGGGAAATGTAGATTACTCCTGAATACTATGCTTAATCAAGAACCCACCATGAGTGGATGATTAAGAAACAAATGTTTATTTCTCATGATGAGTACCTGTGCATGGCTACTTTTAAACCGTTGACCCTATAGAGTTCTCTGATTTCCTTTCACCATTTCCATCGGCTTGGGCAGGGCAGAGACTAAAATTCTATTATTCTGATCTCAAAGCATGTGCATCATCTCCTACTGTCAATTTCTCACCAAACCTGAGGAGCACCTGCTCATTCATGAATGATAATTAAGGTTGCTAGAAGGATTACTACTGAGTTTTTCTCTTATGATGAGATGTTACCTAGATAATCAATGAAAAAATTTATAAAATAAAAATGAAGAAAGCTGCCTCGTATATTATTTTCATCTTTTTAAAAACATGACTCAGTTTTATTTTCTTCTTTCAGTAACCTTTTGTGGAGAAAATATGTATCTATCATCTTTCCCCATCTCATGGACAAATGTCATAAAGCTCTGGTACAATGAGTCTAAACATTTTAATTATGGGCACTGGACATCAACAGATGAGGCCATAACAACTGACCACTACACTCAGGTAATCGGTGTGCTGGCAAATACACACGTAAATGACTGTAAACTTGGATGGGGTAAAGGTTATTGAGTAACAACTGAAAATTATTCTACCTGATTATTACAATCTTTATGCAATCTACTAAACTTCTCATATACTTTGGATTAGAAGGAGATGTGACTTTCTCAACAGGATGGCTTAGAAGATATAAACTTCTTATTTCCCTTCTTTACTCATTTGATTTTCCTGGGAAGTCACATAATTATAAAACTTCAATCCCATTCCCAATTATAAAATACATTTATAGTATTTAAAGAGTGAAAATAATAGTCCCATACAATACAGAGAACCTCTTATTCCCACCTTTATTTTCATTATTGTAAAATAAAGATAATGTGGTGTTTAAGACTGGCTTGAAAATCACACTGGGTGAGACGAAGGGAATCAAGGAGAAAAACAGAGACAGGACATGTAAGGGGCACATAAGTGGAGAGTTATCTGCTGATGATAACATGTACGATGATATCTTTAACTGGACTGATGTGCAGTGTATTCATGCTGGGAAAACTCATTTTAAAGATGTGGTGATGTACAGTGATTAAATGCATAAAATACATTGAAATAAAATAAAGAAAAAGAAAGGAAAATCACACTGGGCACATATATGCAAGCATGCCCCAAATCCCAAGGAGAGAAGAGAGGAGAAGGAGCTATAGTATGACCATCCCTCCCAGGGAGTGATTTCTCACTTTCCCTCTCTCTCTGCCTCTGTCTTTCTTTATCTCTCTCTGGGAAGCACAAGTGCCCTATAGCATAACGAAAAAAAAAATTAACCATTTTAGCTATTTTTAAGTTACGTGCCATTAATATTCAGTGGCATTAAGTACATTTAAATTGTTGTGCAGTAATAACCAGAATATTTTCATCTCCTCCAACTGAAACCCTATCCCCTTAAACAGTAACTCTCCATTTCTTCCTCTCCAAACCTTTAGCAACTAGTGTTCTATTTTCTGTCTTCATAAATTTGACTTCTCAAAGTACCTCATATAACTGGAAATAGTTCCTTTGTATCTGCCTTCCTTAGTGCAATATCATAAACGAGTGTTTATTCATTTTGCAGTATATGTGAGAATTTCATTCTTTTTTGAAAGTTGAAAATTATTTGATTGTGTGTATGTATCATCTCTGTTTTTTGATCTATCAATGAACATTTGGGTTGTTTTCACCTTTTGGGTATTCTGAATAGTTGTGCTGTGAACACAAATGTACAAATACCTGTCTGAATCTCTGCTTTCAATTGCAGGGTCACATGCAACTTCTGTGTTTAATTATTTGAGAAAGTAGCATGCTATTTAAACAGCAGCTATATTATTTTATATTCCCACTAATTACTTCACATTCTTACTGTGTTGGTATGCTTGGGATCCCATAACAAGCTAAAGCAGGCTGAGGGGATTAAACAACAAAAATTGATTTTCCATACCCTGGGAGTCCAAGATCTTACACAGTTGGCTTCTGGTGAAGGTTCTCTTCTTGGCTTATAGGTGACCACCTTCTCACCATGCCCTAACGTAAGTGGAAAGTGCGAGAGAGAGAAATGAAGACGGGTGTCTAGTGTCCCTTCTTACAAAGACACTAATCCTATTGCAGCAAGGCCAAATTTTCATGATTTCATTTAACCTTAATTACTTACACAGAAGGCCCATCTCCAATTATCAGCACACTGGGGATTTGGGCTTAAAACTATGAATTCCTAGAGGACACAAATATTCTGTTCAAATATGAATTCCAAGAGAACACAAACTTTGTGTTCAAATAGGAATTTTCAGAAGACACAAATATTCTACCACTGCCATCTCTCAACAAGCTAAGAATTCCTTACATGAACAATACATTTATTCCATCTTAAGAGCCCCCAAAGCCTTAACTCATTCCAGGATTAACTCCAAAGTCTAAAATCCAAACTCTCATCTAATATTATCTAAATCACATATGGACGAGGCACAAAATATGATTTCTCCTGAGACAAAGAAAATCCCTTTTGAGCTGTTAATCTAGGAACAAGAAAAACTGGGGGCTGGATAGTGATACAACAGTAGAAGGTGATGCTGTGAGCAGCTGACACATGTGGGAAGTTCCGGGTTTTTATCAGGAGCCCTCCCTGAGTACAACATGCATGTGCATGTGCATGCCCATGATCCAGGGCTAGCTGAGGCTAGGGGATGGATTGTGGCATCAAGACCCTGTTGAGGGTATTTCTCTTTCTCTCTCATTTCTGTCTCAGTCATAGAATAAATAAATAAACGAGAAAAAGAATCTGTTGGAGCGCTGTTTCTTTGTTGCATTTCCCTAATTATTAGTGGTGCTGAATTGCTTTTCAAGTGCATATTGGTCATTTGTATATCTGTTTTAGAAAATGTCTATTTAAAGTCCTTCACTTATTTTTAATTGGGTTGTTTTCCATTGTTGTTGGATTATGGGAGTTCTGTATATATTCTGGATATTGATCCTCTATCAGGTATACAAGGTGCCAATATTATGTTTGTTATATGGGTTGCCTTTTTACTCAAATGATGGGATCCTATGATGCACAAAAGTTTTTAATTTTGATAAAGTCTGATTTAGTAATTTATATATTGACCTTTGCTTTTTGTGTCATGTGCAAGAATTCATTGATAATTCAGTATTGTAATTCTATCCCATGTTTCCTTCTAAGAGTTTTACAGTTTCAGCTATAACATTTAGATATTTAATCCATTTATAGCTGGTTTTTATTTCTAGAGTTTTGCCATAGGGCATGTGTGCTCACCAGAGAGAGAGAGACAGAGTCAGAGACAGAAAGCAAAGCAAGATTAAATCAAACGCATGATAATCAAGAGACACAGTAAACCCAAGATGCTAGAAGTTGCTGTCAGTATAAGAGGGAAACTGTCTTGCAGTCAATTTTTAACTTTTTTAATAGGTGAAATGAATTAGCCCTTTTATTACTATGTAGTGTCTCTCTTTGCTCCTTACACTTTTTGTCTTACAGTCTGTTTTGTCTGATATCAATATCATGACTTCAGCCTTTTTTTAAAATTTCCATTTGCATGGAATTTCTTCTTCCAGCCCTTCACCTTCAGTTTACATATGTGTTTATCCATGAGGTGCATTTCTTGTAGGCATCATATAGAGGACTCCTTTTTTTAACACATTCAAACTTTCAATGGGATAATTTAATCCATTAACATCAACATTATTATTGATATTTTCAGACTTATGCAGGCCATTATATAAACCATTTTCTTAGGTTTTGTTTGTTTGTTTTCTTATTTCTGTCTGCCTGTCTTTAATTTTCCTGATATGGTACTTCTTTAAGTAATTCCTGAAGCACTGGTTTAGTGTTGGTGAATTCTTGGTGAATAATTTTATTTATTCTTCCCATTTGAAGAATAAACTTGCCAGGTATAGTATTCTTGGTTGAAATTGTTTTTCTTTTTATGTTTGAATATATCTTCCTATTCTTTCCTTGCCTTAATTGTTTCTGTTGAAAAGTCTCATGTTAGCCTATTCGGATAACCTTTTTAAATAACTTGACATTTGTCTCTTGCTATTTTTAGAATCTTGTCATTGTTTTTGACCAATAACTATTATGTACTGGGCAAAGGATCTTCTTATGTTGATTTGATTTGGGATCCTTTGTATTTCTTGAGTCTAGATGTCTGAATGCTTCTCTAGATTTGGGAAATTTTCTGCAAGTATTTTATGGAATAAATCTTCTGCACCCTTGTCAGATTCTTCATCTTCTGGAATAGCTATTATTTACATATTTGGGTATTTAATGGTGTCTAGTTTTTCCCATATGTTGTCCTCAATTTTTTTAAATTCTTTTTGGTAGTTTTAACTAAGTCAAAGGTCTTGTCTTCCAGAGTAGAGATTCTATCTTCTGGGTAGTATAATCTGTTACTAATACTTCCAAGGGAGGTTTTCATTTCCTATATTACAGTCTTCTCTAGAAGTTCTGTTTGATTCTTTTTTATTGTGTCTATCTCCTTTTTCAAGTCTCGGAAGGACTTCTTCATCTCCTGGTGTTCGTTGGTTGTTTTCTCTTGGATCTCATTCAGTTTTGTCATGACAAATAATCTGAATTCTTTCTCTGACATTTCTGTGAATTCTTTTATGCTGAATATGGTTGAGGAGGAGTTGTTTTGTTCCCTTCAAGGAGAGATATTTCTTTGTTTTCTCATGTCTCTTGTGCCCTTGCACTGGTTTCTGATTATCTGGTGAATCATATACTTCTTCCTACTTTTTTGATGTTGATTCCGTAGTGTCAGTAGGGTGGGGGGAGAAGTGCTCTGCTTCTCAAGCATGTTTTTGGGAGAGGACCTTGTCTTGCAATCATAGAAGGATGTCTGTAGCCAGCTTCATATATTGGTTCCCTTCTTAGTCTTTCAAGATCAGGTGCACCTGGCACTGAGCTGGAGAGATTCAACTAGAGGAATAAGTAAAAGTCATACCCCAGCATTTCTTTAAAATGAGGTGGAAAGATGAAAAAGGTAAAGCATTTTAAAAAAAAAATATAGACTTAATCACTTATGGATATAGTGCAGAAATCAAAACTAAAGCATTAACGAATAGTTTTCTAATTTTAAATTGATACCTCTGGATACAAAAGGTATGTGTCTGGAATCCAAGAGCATTTTCTTTATTTTTGTTGTTGTTGTTTTGTTTGTTTGTTTTTTTGCTATAGGGCGCATGCACTCGCCAGACAGAAAGAGACAGAGAGACAGAAAGCGAGAAATCACCCACCCAGGGGGTATGGCCACATCGCAATCCCTTCTCCTTTATTCTCCTCTCAGGATCTTGGGCACGCACACACACACACCCGGTGTGAGTTTAAGCCACTGGGTCCGGGACTCGAACTGTGGTCGACTACGTGGGAGTCCAGCAACATAGCCATTACTCTAACTGCTGGTCCCCCAAGAGCATTTTCAATGCTAGACTACCTAATAGTCTTATAATTTACATTATCAAAAGTTTAAAGGATAATAAATTAGCATCTTGAAAGCGAAAAATTTGACAAATTTGTGACACTCTTTCTTGCCTTTTATTTCTTTCATATAATCACTGACAAGACTCATTAATTCCATCACAAAACCATTAGCCCTATCACTTTGATATAGAACCTTAATTCTACTATCATCAGATAGTATTAATTTGTTTTCTTCAAACCCATTCTTTTCACCATTTCAAACAATTAAGGCAACCAAATCAAAGATATTTGAAAACATTTTATCTTCCAGCTACTTAAATGTTCATTATTTCACTCCCACCATTCACTTAGGATATAGAAGACAGCATTATTATATCTGATTTTAGACATAAGAAAGTGAAACTCAGAGGTCTAAAGCAAACTAAGTACCACCTAGCCAGGAGCGATAGGGATGGAATTTAAATCTAAGTCATTTTGCCTCCAAAGCCAACTCAGCACTCTACCATATGCCTTTTCTCTAATAAGTTCCTTCTATGCTCTAATATTTATATAATCACCAAGCACTGTTCTTCCTGCTAAGTGATAGTTTACATAGATTGACAAGGAGAGAATAAGTAAGGGTTAACAATAGCCACTCATGTTTCATAGTGAGAATTTCTGAAACCCTCTCGTTCAGATAAGACTGAGTCATGGGGAGTTGACACAAAGCTTTAATGAGTACGAGGCTGAACTGACTGGATAATGTAGTCTGAGAAACGAATCCCATGCACAGCCTCAAACACTCCATGTACAGAATGGCAACATCGAGGTTGTGTTTGAACAGCATACTATTCACTGAAAAATGATGGCACCACTTCTTTTTATTATATCCCAGAGAAAATGACTGTTAGAATTTTTCTTTTTTAATTAGAAAATGTATCCAGAACTCCAACATAGTCCTAAAGAAAAATAAACTGGGTATAACTAAAGAAAATGCCAATCATCAAGTGAGCCTCTCCTGTTAACCTATTTGGATTACCCCACCTGGTTTCTAATGTGTGCAACCATGTGTACATGTGTGTATGTATGTTATGTAGAGATGTAGGACTCTTCTTATTTGTATAATTTCTTAGTAAGTCATGCTCAAGGCAAACCTAAAAACAAGCATGTTTATTCTTAATTGTGGATAACAGTATTGATGTTCTGATCATTTGGTGAAATAGCAACTCTGAATACAACTATCTCTATCTTTGCAGATTGTTTGGGCTACTTCATACCTCATTGGCTGTGGCATTGCATTATGCCGCAAAAAAGGATTACCTGATTATCACTATGTCTGTCACTATTGTCATGAGTATGTATTATTGGTTTATTTCAGGTTTTAAATATATATTCTCCTACAGGAAACAAATATAATTTTTTAAGCAAAATATTGTTAATATAAAAGAAAATTCAAGTATATATTTTTAGTTAGGCAGCTCTTTAGGGGTAAAATATCATTTAGCTAATATGTAAAAAAAAATTGTGCATGTCCCCATACATATAACCATATTTTTATTTGCTATTTTTACTAAATAAATCTATATCTCACCGAGTGTAAAACATTTTTTTAAAAAAACTTTTTTTAAAAAAATTTAGTTTGACCAGAGAGCGACAGAATGAGAGAGAGAGAGAGAGAAAGTGAGAAAGCAAGCCACCAGGTCCAGGACTTGAACTGCGGTCAGCCATGTGGGAGTCCAGCATCCTTAACCACCATGCCACCTGCCAGCCCCAAAACTTTAGGATGACTCACTGCTAGGTTCCCATGTGTCATTTCTTCTTTGATAGTTATTGTATAAGGGAAACATTTAAACATTTAAACTACCTTAAGCAAAGTAACAAGGATATTTACTTCAACAAAACAAAAATATATTCTAAAATTCAAAGGTAGAAATGCAGTGATGTCTCAAGAAGGCAACAAAGAATGCCAAGTGTTTTTCATTATATTTAGTATTCTAGTGTAAATATTGATGTGTGTTTTCCCTCTAAAAATTAAATTCACTGTATAGAGTCTATCACAGGTACTAGTCACAAATCCTAGAAAGCCAATCTGCTTGCTTCAATGAGGGTCAGGTGTACTTACTTGTTTTATTAATTATAATTATGGAGCATGATCAAGTAAGACAGGAATGATTGCAGAGGTCCACCTGTGTGGCTTTTTTCTTTACTTCCTTTTCTTTTTGAAAAAGGGAGAATGTTCAGTGCTGGATATAACCCCCTGATATTTGACTGCAAATGCCAGTTTAATATCACTTATCCTAGTGAAAGCTGATGGTAGGTCTGTTTGTCATCTTTAACTACATGTACTTTCTAGTTCAACATATAAGTGTTTCCTCCATACTACGTGCTCTAAGCTTGGTATTCAACTACTGTCTCTCCTGTGTATAGCACAGTTTAAGATGTCCAATATAAATCAATGAGCATTTCTCTGATAATATGCTAACACACTTACATTTTTTAAGAGATTTTTTTGTTTGTTTGTTTTTTGTTTATTTGTTTTTGTTTTTGTTTTTTTGTTTTTTGCTATAGAGCAATTGGGCTCTCCAGAGACACAGAGAGACAGAAGGTGAGAAGCCACTCCTAGCAGAGGATAGCCACGCCACAGTCTCTTGGCCATTCTCCTCTAGAGATTTTAGGTATGCATGTACATGTACCCAGAGTGAGTTTCAAGCTGCCGGGTCCAGGACTCAAACCACAGTCAGCCATGTGGAAGTCCAGTGCCTTAGCCACTATACATCTGCTGGCGCACATATTTACATTTTAAATGGTGCATCCAGTATCACAACAGATACCAGATTATAATAGAATCAGGTAATAATTCCATGTAAGTTATTATCTGGTCTCATCTTAATTTAAGTAGTTTAAATTTGTTGGGATTTTATCTGTGCAATCTGTGCTGAGGAGGATAAGATCATTTTGGATTTACAGCACATCATTTGCAACTTCATCTTTCCAGGAGCTGGTAAACTGTGAAATTCAAACAATAGAAAAAAGAAAAGTATGAAACGTAGAAAGCTGCGGTAGCAAAATTTTCTTAGCCATAGTCCAAGTGTCTTTGACTAAATCTCTTACTGAATTTATAACTTCCTTTTATAAAATGAAGTTGTGGGGCCAGCAGGTCATGTAATGGTTAAGGCACTGGAATCCCACATGGCCAACCATAGTTTGAATCCCAGATCAAACAGCTTGAAATCACACCAGGCACATGTGCATGCGTACCCAGAATCCTGAGAGGAGAATAAGGGAAAAAGAATTGCAGTGGCCATCCCCTCAAGGTAGTGATTTCTCACTTTCCCTCTCTCTGTCTCTCTTAATATCTCTCAGGCAAGTGCACATGCCCTATGGCAAAAACAACAACAAAACAGTTCAGATATTAAAGAAATAATTGTCAGATAAAAAGTTTTGTTTGTTTGTTTTTTAGTTTATTTATTTCTTCCATGAGCAAGAGAGACAGAGACAGACAGTAACACTTTCACCAGTCTCAATACTACAATCTACTCCCAGCTTCGGTAGACCCAGAACATGAGACATATACACTCAGTTTATTCCATGAGGTTTTGGGCATGAACCCAGATTCCGCCTATCTGAGTCACACAAAGCATCATATTTTACTTCTGTTTTACTGTCTAACCTCCAGATTCAAAAAAATAATAATTAAGCAGAATGTTTACTTTCTTTCAAAATGATATTAAGAACTAGACATCTGATTTTTAGAAATCTACAAATAATTTTTTCCTGAATTTCAAATTAACCCAGAACTGGACATTCTAATCTACTCTTTTAGTTTGTTTTCCTGTACCTAACACATTAGTATTATCCATGTTGAGTAACTTCCTTTTATGTACACGATGTTTTTACAAAAGACACTAACATATATACTTTTACCAAACACACAAATGTGTATCACCTTTACAGGGCATAGTTCAAGATGAACTTAGAACATGTCTACTTTGAATTATGTAAGTATTTTTAACATTGTTAAAAACCATATCTTTATTCATAATGGTTTAACAAGACCTTGTAGACATTAATAAAGAATATGTCCTGCTAAAATTGACTCTAAAGCCCTTCTACTTGTGTTTGACTACCAAAAGGTCTTAAGAGCTTTTAGGACTTGAATGTCCAAAGGGTAGTATACATTATCTGAAAAATATTTTTGTAACATCCAGATTTGCTGGTTGTACATGGCAAAAAATAATAATATGTAGAGATCTAGAATTCTCACACTCATCTTAAAAGATATCACTAGTTCTTTACAAGCATGTTTATGCAATTTGCTTTTTAAAATGACTGTATACAGTGAATAAAATTTTATATTTTTTTCCAAAAATGAATTTTATTAAACTACTTTTCTTTCTTTCTTTTTTTTTTTCTCTTTTAAGGGGAAATGATCCTGACACAATGAATGTACCATACAAGAATGGCACCCCTTGTGAACACTGTCCAAAAAACTGTGAAAATAAGCTTTGTAGTAAGTTCTCTAAGTCTTGTTCGCTTAAAATGGACCCATTGATTATGGGAGCCATGTGTTCTTTCCACTAATCATTAAACAAGATGGCCCCTTGGTCCAACTTCTATCTCAGTATTACCATAGGAAATGTCAACATTATTTCTATTTTCTTCTCTCCCATCTCCAGAGTGATACCATTGATTCAATCTATTGCAACAAGAATTAGAAGGTGTAGCAGTGCGATTTTAAGTACTCATTCTTAGAATTAAAATTCTTAATTATAGTTGGCCTGGATAAATTGTTACCATAAATGTAGATTTTTCTCTGCTTCTTAAAAAACATTCTAGGGCTTTCTTCTTGCAGGTATAAATTAGGCACATTGTCAAGTTTCAGTGACTTCACACTGCTGGCTGCTCTGTGACTTCCATATCACCCTGACCACCTATCAAGGCATGCTGTTTTGTTTTTCCTTGTTTTTTGTTTTTGTTTTTGTTTCTTTTTTTTTTTCTTAAGAGATGTTTTTCCTATAGGGCGGGTGTGCTCACCAGAAAGACAGAGAGAGACAGAGAGACAGAAAGCGAGACATCCCCCAGGGGGGGATGGCCACACTGTTCTCTATGAAACAGAAAGATAAAATGTGAAAATTTTAATTAGCTACCAAATAATAAAGTGTTAAGAATGTATATTGAAATGAGAAAATCTTGCAGGAGAAAAGGAATTGAATTATACAATAGTTATTTTTGCCTGGGTATATTAAGAAAAATCCATTTATACATTTTAATAGAAAAAGTCAAGTTAAAGATTTTTTTTTAAGTTTTGTTTTGTTTTTTATGTTATTTTATTTTATTTTTTGGTATAGGTCATGTGTGCTCACCAGAGAGACAGTGAGAGAGAAAGGGAAAGTGAGAAATCAAATAAGAAATCACCCCTAAGGGGGGATGGCCACACTGCAGTCCCTTCTCCACTCTCCTCTCTAGATTTTGGATATGCACACGCATGCACCTGGAATGATTTTCAAGCCGCCAGACTGAGGACTCTAATCACACAGTCAGCCATGTGGGATCCAGCACCGTAACTTCCATGCCACCGACTGGCCCAATATTTTTAGTAATCATTGCAATTTTAAAATGTCGAGTATATTCAATTATGGTGTAATTGAAAGATGCTGCTTAGATGTTTCCCCACAAAAAATTATGATAAAAAAAACTTTTATATCAAGAAAAAAATGTTGTCCTTTCACATATGCTCTCATGTAAGTTAGCACTCTTCTGATTGTAGATATAATTAGCTCATGCGACTCAAATGTAATTATCTATTGTTGTAAAATTCACTACCTCGTTAGGAAGGTAGTATACCTTTCCTTGATGACATTTTCAAGGCGATGTTGTATGACCATTCTATTTTATTTTTCAGCTAACCCCTGCCAGTACTATAATGAATACAGAGACTGTCTTATATATTTCAAAGGTGCTAAATGCAGTCAGATGCCATTCAAACTATTCTGCAAAGCTACTTGTCTGTGCGGCATTGACTAACATGGAGCCACCTCTTCTATTTGCTGTTATACTGTGCTATAAAGGTGAGAAGGTGTCCAGCGGATCATCATTTTTAGCCTAGTTTACTTCAGTAGCTTCTGCTAGATTTCATTTGGTTTTCATTATATTTACAATTCTATTTTTTAAATGTTCAAAAAATTTTTAATTCCAGATCACTTTAAATCAATCATTAAAGCATTCCACAAAGCAAAGAACCCTGTCTCAATTTTCGGTGTAAATATTACTTACTTGGAAGCAAAAAAAGCTAAAACAAAAAATACTCTTGCCATTAATTTGACAAAATATGTATGTAGTGCTACTTACATACAAGTTATAATGCATTTATAGAGAAAGGATGCTATACCTCAAAGAAATCATAAAAATCACATTTAAAAATGTAGTGGAAGGTCTCATTGTTTTTTGTGACTGAATGGTATTCCACAGCACGTATGTGCCACACTTCTTAAATCCATTCATCTGTTCATGGACATTTGGGTTGGTTCCATGTCTTAGGAATTGTGAATAATGGCATAGTTAACATGGATGTGCAAGTGTTTTTCTGACTGAGTGCATTCCTATTTTGGGGGTCGATACTCAAGAGTGAAATGGCTAGATCATATGGTAGTTCTATTTGTAGTTCTCTGAGAACTCTCCATACCATTCTCCACAGTGGCTGTACTAATTTACATTTCCACCAACAGTGTGGGAGAGTTCCCTCTTCTCCACAACCTTTTCAGAATTTAGCATACTGGTGTTTTGTTTGTTTGTTTGTTTTTAATTTTAGCTATTCTGAATGGGCATAGGTGGTATCTCTCATTGTTTTTATCTGTGTCTCCTTTATGATAAGCGATGTTGAGCATTTTTTACATGTTTTTTGCCTGTTTGTATGTCTTCATTAGAGAGTTGTCTGTTCAGCTCATTTGCCCATCTTTTAAATGGGTTATTGTTTTGCAGATAAGCTGCTTGAGTTTACAGTGTACTTTGGTTATCAGTCCTTTATCTGATGCATAGTTTGTAATAAATTCTCCATTCAGAGGGTTGCTCATTAAGTCTCCTAGCATTTGATAGAAAGTGGACAAATTTGGAAGATGTACTGCTAAACAAAGCAAGCCAGACTATGAAAGAGAGGCATTGTATGTCCTTACTCAATATATACCAAATGTCTGCAGATACTATAATGATTAAATTGCTGGATTCCCATGTATTCAACCATGGTTTGAATCCCAGACCTAGCAGCTTAAAACTCACACTGGGCATGTGTGCATGAGTGCCCAAAATCCTGAGAGGAGAATGGAGAAGAGATTGCATCATGGCCATCCCTCTTGGGAGGTGATTTCTCACTTTCTATCTCTGTGTCTCTGTCCCTCCAGCAAACACAACATGTGCCTGATAGAAAAAAAACAAAACCTTCTAAAACAAAAAGGCAACATTACGTAATATATGTACACGTCCCAGTATCTCAACTCCTCTTTGTTCTGCTCTTGCTCTCTCATATCCTCCTTTCACTATGAGCATTCTTAGATATTTTTTCATGACAAACAGCATAATCAGAAATATTTTATGCTTCTGTGAGCTATTTGAAATCTCTGATTCTTTAATTTCATTTTTTTTCTTTTTTTGGAGAGGTTTTTCCTATAGGGCGCATGCGCTTGCCAGACAGACAGAGACAGAGAGACAGAAAGCGAGATTGTGGCCACGCCGCAATCCCTTCTCCTCCATTCTCCTCCTGGGATCTTGGGCACGCATGCACATGCACCCGGTGTGAGTTTAAGCCACCGGGTCCGGGACTCGAACCATGGTCGACTACATGGGAGTCCAGTGACATAGCCATTACGTTAACTGCTGGTCACAATTTCATTTTATTAAGTAGTCTAATATGAAAAATTATAGTGGACATCCTTCAAAATGCAACGTTTTAAGTAAGGAAAGAAATGGAAGTGAAAAAAAATGAAAAATGGATCCTCACTGTTGTAAACTATTTTCAGCCTATTCAGTGAGTATGAAGCCCATATCTGGTGGACAGGTGGTTAAGGGATCCCTATCTCACATGGCTGACCACACAGTGTGAGTACAGGACCTGGTGGCTTGGAAAAAATGCTGAGCAAGTGCTTGTGCATGCCTGAAAATCCCAGAAGGAGGGCAGAATGGAGGAGATGGGATTGTGATATGACCACACCCCATTCAAAGGTGCTTTCTCCCTTCTTTGTTCTGTCTTTCTGTCTCCAGGAGAGCATGTGCCCTCTGGCAAAAACAGAAAACAAAAACAAAATGCTAAAATGAAAAGAAGCCTATATCCATGCCCATTTCAAGAGAACATAAGTGTGTGTGTGTGTGTGTGTGTGTGTGTGTGTGTGTGTGTTTGCGTGTACTAATATAGTTCAGGATGACTTGTGATAGGCAGTCAAATACATCAGCATTCAGGACAAAAGCTGATTAGTTGTAGGGTACAGTGGAGAGTAGGGAGCCATAAAAATGGATGAGTTACAAAGAATCTTGAAAGGAAGCCCAAATGATGCCCTGGATGGGGGGAATTCTTCACTCCTATTGTAACAAATTACAACAAACTCTAAGATATTACTTACTAGACTATTTCTCAAAAATATATACATTTTGGACCAGCTGTTGGCATAATGGCTATGTTGCTGGACTCCCAGACAGTCGACCGTGGTTCGATTCCTGGACCTGGTTACTTAAACTCACGTTCGTGGGCCTTGTTACTTAGCCTCACCCCAGGTGCATGTGCTTGCATGCCCAAGATCCCGAGAGGAGAATGGAGGAGAAAAGATTGCAGCATGACTATCTCCCCTAGGGGTGATTTCTAGTTTTCTGTCTCTCTGTCTCTCTTTGTCTTTCTGGCAAACGCACATGCCCTATAGCAAAAACCTCCCCCACCCCCCCAAAAAAATATATATGCATATACATATATATATATGTATATGTATATGTATATGTGTGTGTGTGTGTGTATACATTAAATTGAGCCCTATTATCTCTAAAGACTCATGAAAATTATTTCACTTTGCATATTTTAACCCCATTTAGTCTCCGGGTTGTGGTTGTGAATCACAGAAATTATTATTTCAAATGGTAACTATCCTCAGGTGTTTAGAATTTTGTATAATGTTTAGTATACATTTTGTTACTTATATGACATTATTTCAACTACATAAAAGCCCTTTGTAGTGAGATACATTATCGTAATTCTACATATGTGGACATTAAGGCTCCAAAATTTCCTATGTTTTTCTTGTGGTTAAATAGCTAGAAAGTAGAGGCCCTGCACCAAGAACAAAATAAAATAATACTCCACTAGGTGGAGCTATAAATAGGACATTATTAATAATATAAATAGGGTTCTATATAAATTTATGTGGAGACAAAAATTATGGGATCTTTCAAGGTGTCCAGACATAGCTGTCACATAATAGAGTTAACTGTGCATTTAACACACTACAAAATGTGCTCAAAGCCTAAGTAGTTAGCAGATTATGGTTAACACTATTTCCTTAGCATGGAAGGACAATATTGTTTCCTCACCGCTAAGGGGATTTTTAATGTACATGCACTCACTGGAGAGAAAAAGAGAGAGGAGAAATGAGAAAGGATGCCCCATGGGGAATGGTCAAGCCACAATCCCTTCTGAATTTCTGTTTTTGATATTTTGCACACACACACACACACACACACACACACACACACACACGACTGATAGGCTGCCAGGTCTAGGACTTGAATGACGTAGTTAGTCACAGGATCTAGCCACCTTAACTGCAATGCCACAGGTTGGCCCAAAATATTTTTTTTTAATATAATAAAGGTGCTTTTGCAGAATTATATAAAATTTTATAGTATAAATTTACCCTTGATTAAAAAAAAACTTGACTTAAAAGTATCTGATTTTACTAAATGATTTAGTAAGTCAATGTAATCAAATGGAAATACCAGAAGTAATTTTTAGATCATTTATATTTATCATAAACTTATTTGGAAAATAATTATTGAGCAGTGGCTGTTCCAAAACAGGTCTGCAATCCTCTACCTCAACCATTGCACTCTATTAGGGGTGCAGTACCTCCCTTACACTTAGATGAACCTGTGCTTCTGCATCGTTTTTATGGAAAGACATTTATGAAGCTGAAGCATTACAGAAATTTTACTACTGTAAAGCAAATGGCCCCATGAAGAAAAAGAATAAAGAGATTTTTCCCAACCTTCATCAGACTTTAAGTTCAACATTCACTTCCACTTACACACAGAAATCTTCTGTAAAAGTAATTTCCAAACAAGATCACAAGATGGCAGGGTATGCACATCACATTTGGTAATCCTTTTGGAAGGAAACATTTGGGCCCAAAAGATTGTGGCTGGTTTTCTATTTAATCTGAATGCTGCCTTACAAACCTTTTGCTGATTCATTTGTCGAAGTGTCTTTAATGTATTAACAATTCCACATTTTTGCTAAAATTTTCAATTATTAGAGCTTCTTAAAGCAGTTAAGGAAAATCAAATTACAACAGGCTTGAGGATATTATTTACTAGAATATTTCTGAAAAATATCTACATTAAATAGGATTAGGGCTCAGGTTAGGGGTAGGGCTCAGGTTAGGGTTAGGGTTAGGGTTCAGGGCTAGTTTTAGGGTTAGGGCTCAAGTTAGGGTTAGAGTTGTGGCTCAGGTTGGAGTTAGGGTTAGGGCTCAGGCTAGGATTGGGGCTCTGGTTAGGTTTAGAGTTGTGGCTCAGGTTGGAGTTAGGGTTAGGGCTCAGGCTAGGATTAGGGCTCTGGTTAGGTTTAGGGCTTGGGTTACTTATATGGCTCTAGTTAGGGTTAGGGCTCAGGCTAGGGTTAGGGCTCAGGTTAGAGTTAGGGCTTGGATTATGATTAGGGCTCAGGCTAGGTTAGGGTTAGTGCTCAGGTTAGCATTAGGGCTCAGATTAGGGTTAGGGCTCAAATTAAGATAGGGGCTAGAGTTCAGGTTAGAGTTAGGGTTAGGGTTAGGGCTCAGGTTAGGGTTAGGGCTTGGGTTAAGATTAGGGCTGGGATTAGGGATAGGGCTCGGGTTAGGGTTTGGTTTATGGCTCAGGTTAGGGTAGGATTAGGGTTAGGGTTAAGGCTCAGGTTAAAATTAGGGCTGGGGTTAGGGTTTGGGCTTGGGTTAGGGGAGGATTAGGGATAGGGTTAGGGTTAGGGCTTAGGCTAGGGTTAGGACTCAGCTTAGGGTTAGGGCTTGGGTTAGGATTAGGGCTCGGGTTAGGGTTAGGACTCAGATTAGGGTTAGGATTTGGGTTAAGGTTAGGGCTCTGGTTAGGTTTAGCTTTAGGAATCAGGTTAGGGTTAGGGCTTGGGTTAGTGTTAAGTTTTTGATTAGGTTTAGGGCTTGGGTTAGGGTTAGGGCTCAGGTTAGTGATATGCTTCTAGTTAGAGTTAGGGCTCAGGCTAGGGCTAGGGTTCTGGTTAGAGTTAGGGCTCAGGTTATGGTTAGTGCTCAGGTTAGGTTAGGGTTAGTGCTCAGGTTAGAGTTACTGCTCAGTTTAGGGTAAGCATTAGGTTTTAGGTTAGAGTTAGGGCTCAAGTTAGGGTTAGGTCTCAGGTTTGGTTTAGGGCTCCGGTTAAGATTAGGGCTGGGGTTAGGGTTAAGGCTTGGGTTAGGGTTTGGTTTATGGCTCAGGTTAGGGTAGGTTAGGGATAGGGTTAGGGTTAGGACTTAGGCTAGGGTTAAGACTCAGGTTAGGGTTAGGGCTCTGGTTAGGGTTAGGGCTCGGGTTAGAATTAGGGCTCAGGTTAGGGTTAGGACTCGGGTTAGGGTTAGGACTTGGGTTAAGGTTAGGGCTCAGGTTAGTGATATGCTTCTAGTTAGGGTTAGGGCTCAGGCTAGGGCTAAGGCTCTGGTTAGAGTTAGGGCTCGGGTTATGGTTAGGGCTCAGGTTAGGTTAGGGTTAGTGCTCAGGTTAGGGTTACTGCTCAGATTGTGGTAAGCGTTAGGGTTCAGGTTAGAGTTAGGGCTTGAGTTAGGGTTAGGGCTCTGGTTTGGTTTAGGGCTCGGGTTAAGATTAGGGCTCAGGTTAGGGTTAGGGCTCAGGTTAAGATTAGGATTCAGCTCTGGTTGGAGTTAGTGTTAGGGCTCAGGTAAGGATTAGAGCTCGGGTTAAGGTTAGGGATCAGGTTAAGGTTAGGGCTCGGTTTAGGATTTAGTTTATGGCTCAGGTTAGGGTAAGGGCTCGAGTTAGGGTTAGGACTCAGGTTAGGTTTAGAGATCCAGTTAGGATTAGGGCTCAGGTTAGGATTAGGGGTTGGGTTAGGTTTAGGGCTCAGGTTAGGGTTAGGGTTCAGGTTAGGGTTGGGGCTCAGGTTAGGGTTAGTTTTAGGGCTCATGTTAGGGTTAGGCCTTGGGTTAGTGTTAGGTTTTGGATTAGGATTAGGGCTCAGGTTAGGGTTAGGGCTCAGGTCAGGATTAGGGCTCTGTTTAGGCTTTGGGTTAGGGTTAGGGCTTGGGTTAGGGTTAGGGCTCAGGTTATGGTTAGGGCTCACTTTATGGTTAGGGTTAAGGTTAGAGCTTGGGTTAGTGTTCAGGTTAGGGTTAGGGTTAGTGCTGAGGTTAGGGCTCTGTTTTATGTTAGGTTTAGGGCTCTGGTTAGGGTTAGGGCTCAAGTTAGGGTTAGGGCTCTGGTTGGGGTTAGGATTTAGGACTAGTTTTAGGGTTAGGGTTATCAAGTTAGTGTTAGGGTCGGGACTTATGTTGCAATTAGGGTTAGGTTTAGGGCTCGAGTTATGGTTAGGGTTAGTGTTAGCCCACAGGTTAGGGTTAGGGCTCATGTTAGTGTTACAGATCAGGGTAGGGTTAGGGCTCAGGTTAGGGTTATGACTTGGTTTTGGTTTAGGTTTAGGGGTTAGTTTAGTATTTGGGCTTGGGTTAGGGTTAGGGTTCAGGTTAGGTTTAGGGCTTGGGTTAGGGTTAGGGCTTGGGTTAAGGTTTTGCCTTGGGTTAGGGTTATGGGTTCTGATTAGGGTGAGGGTTAGGTCTCAGGTTAGGATTAGGGCTCAGGTTAGGGTTAGGGCACAGGTTAAGGTTAGGGCTCAGTTTGGGTTAGGTTTATGGCTTAGGGTTACTGTTAGTGTTAGGGCTCAAGTTAGTATTAGGGCTCAGTTTAGGCTTAGAGCTCGGGTTAGGTTTAGGTTTGGGGCTCAGGTTTGGGTTTTGATTTAGGTTAGGTTTATTGCTCGTGTTAGGGTTAGGGCTCAGGTTAGGGTTAGGGTGTGTGTTTGTTGTAGATGCTGGTTACTTTCCTTGATACACAATAAGCTCTTAATTGGAGATCTGTTATTTTATAAAATATTATCATTTTCTTAATATTTTGTCACATTTATTCATACTTTTTCTCTTGTTATCACTCTCTAGTGGATCTTGTAAATTCTTTTAATGTCCATAGATCTTGAATGTCCTATGTCTAATTCTTGATGCTTTTCTAATGCATTCTAAAAGAGTTAAACTTCCCTGTTTCTGCTTATTTATTCATTTTTTACCTACTTTTATATTTGATTTAGTAAGTGGCTCATCACTTTGAGTTTTTTATTTAAACTATTTTTACTTCATTTTTAGCATTCCCAATTAGTTATATTTTATATATAAAAAGTATTGTTTTTTTATATGTAGAATGGCTTAAAATATAGATGTCTTTTGTATTTATTCATCTAAAGCATTCGTTGTGTTTAAGTCTGTTCTGACTTTTTCAAATAGTTCAGCTCCCTTTGTTATACATTGTTCTGCTGTTGTCCTTTCATAATATCCCAATAAACTGAATTTTTCCCTATCAGTATATTTGTTAACTTCGTTAATTATGTCTGCAGATGTCAGACAAAGACATCAGCCCTGAGATGCTTCATGTTGCAGTCAATAGTTTCCTGCTGTCTGTACTCTGTCCCCAAAAATGGATATCCCCCACCCCAAGACAACCTCCCAGCTGTTATATTTAAAACTTTCCTTCTTGGTCAACTGTATCCTTTTTAATTGCCAAGTAATAGAGGCTTCAAGTCTACTTGAATTTTTGTTCTTGATCCTTATCTTCCCACTCCAGCCTGCCTCCAATATTATCCTAAAGTTACTCTACAATTGCTAAAGAACAATAGATATTTGAAATGTATTTCTAGGATACCTTCCTAATGATAATGCTACAAATTCCTTTTGCATTTTATTTATTTTAAAATTTTCTTTGTTTAATATTTTATTTTTCTGAGTTCATAGACCTAAATTCCAGACTTGTTCAACACTAATTCATGGAGGTTCACGTTCATTTCAATCGCTGTCTTAATTAAGCCCTCCTAATCTCAGTCACTGACTTGATCTCAGAAGGGTTTAAGGGAGACAAGCAAATTCTGTACAACAGTCTTTCTCTTCTCCTTGGACTTTGGCTCTCTCCTCCAAAAGCTACTTCTTTGTGTCCCTCAAGAAAACAAAGAGGGATGTTCAGCATGGTCGTAACGGTGGCCATGACAGCAGTGGTAGCCATGATGGCAGCAGCTCAAAAGAGTCAAAGGCGGTGATCACCCGCGGAGAGGAGACTTCACTTGCCCAAGGGTGCTTCTAGCCCAACCAGCATCAGCCAGGCCCCTAGTCTGAGGGAGCCCAAGTCCAGAGGACCCCAAGTCTGGCCGAAGAAGCCATGGAGCTCTCGGCGCCATCCGACCTCGAGCACCACGTGCACACGGGCGGGAGCACAAGTTCACGGGCGGCCCCAGGCCATAGGCAGTCCGGGATTGCGAGTCGGCTAGTAGGCGTAGGCCGCTGGTGGACCCTGCCTGCCTCACCTCCATCCAGCCTGGAAACCCCCAAGAACATCGTATGGGGCAGCAAAGGTACAAAGGTTGGGGCCCTCATGCTGTTGCTGGACTAGTGAGAATATGTCCGTGACAGGCTCCAACTCCCTGCAGAGAGGCAGCCCACCTCCCGCCGCCCCCGCTGGGCCTCCAGAAGAACGGGATTCTGGAGCAGCAGGCCTGGGAGGCCAGAGGCAGCTCCAAGGTGGGCAGCTGGCAGGATCACAACTGGGCGCAGCAAAGCAGGAGGCAGCAGTGGTGACAGGCTGCCGGCAGGGGTAGAAAAGAGGCCCAAGCTTTCCAGGGAGCGCCAGGGGGCCTCCGGAGTCCTCCCAGGACAAACGCCCCTTTTCGGGCTTGATATTTGCACCCCGGCAGGCTGCTGGCCTGTCTAGCAGGGCGAAGCTGGCAG